TGATATTGTCTTGTATTTAATTCAACGGATTGAATTAAAAGTTTATCGTTTAAGTTTACAGATACCAAGCCAACAACTGCTGATGCAATTTTGAAGAAACAAAGTCGAGGAAAGTTAGGTATATATATTAGTAAGATATATGGTGAAAGGTTCATCCAGAACAAATATTCAGATTGAACGAAGTGGATAGTGTTTAAAGTGAATAATTAACATGTACAGCAGGGATTTTGCATATGGTTGAGTTATTTAAACTTTAAAATTCCAATTGGATTTTCCCTTTGGACGCAGTAATAAGACATCACATTCGTATCGCGGTATAAATCCCTGGATTAAAAAAGACAGCGCAGATGGTTACACAATTGGTTAAACAACATAACATTTATCAACCTTCTCTCTCTTTTTCTTACTTTGTCCCTTGCTAGTAGTGTATTATTTCGTTTTTTCTAAAAATTTTAGAAAAAAAAAAAAAATCTTTTAAAATAATATATTTTATATTATTTTGTATAAAAAAAAGGTTTTTTTTTTAAAAAAAAAAAATGTTTTGATAATTCAATTTACTAAACACTTGCAAATACAATTCGCTAATAATTACCTGCATATTAAATCTTGATGACTCTTTTTACTTTGTATTGAAGAAAAAAAATTTTTTTCACCTCGCTCAACTGCTCACCAGTCATGTGGGTTGAAATTTTGCTTAGCAACTTTCTGGCGATTTTGAGGTAAATAAAACATGTCAAGCGAGTTAAACGTGGCTCGGATAACGCCAGGAATGACGTAATGTTTTTATGGTTTGCACTGGTTATTACGTTATGTTCTTAATAAATTCGTGATCTCCATTAACTTTTACTAAGTGATGAAACAAACATAGTTTTACAAGGGATTAAAATCTCATTTTTAATAACTAGAAACCTACCTTATATTCGTAAACTGGGAACAACCAATCTAATTTTACTGTAAATTCTTAATAAAAGTACTCAATTTTATAACAGGTAAAAATTCATCAGACTTTGTAAAAGAATAATGTTATATACCGTGTACTGGAATCATAAAAACAATAATTTTATATAAACTGTTTAACAAAGTGATCTAACTAAGCAAAAAAAATTTATACGGCATCCCAGTCAATTTTAGAAGTTCATAATCCTTTGAAGGTTGTGATGCAAAAATTTGTCGCTCGTGCCAATTTGATTAATGATAATCAATAGAATTATAGTTACCATGGAACATTCAAGTTTGATTAAGAGCTGGCTGGCTATAAGATGATACACGTGTTGAATTATGGACGAACTCTAAGGAGCGATACCAACAGAAGGAAATGGTTGAAAGAAGTCTTCTACAAACAAAGACATTACCGAATCAGGTTAGCAATAGGTTCAAAAAAAATTTTTTTTTTCGAATTTAAATTAGATTACTCAGAACTTGTTTACTGCATTATTTTAATAAATCAAATTTTATTTTGTGGGAATAATTAAAAATAAAAAAAAATAATACACGCGCATTGTTAAATGAGATTTTTATTGGATAAACCCAAAATAATACATGCCAAATATATATATATATACGCTTGACAAAATTATAAGAATATTAAGTATGTAGTATGTAAATTTAAAACTTATCTGCATACACATATATACTTGTATAATAGAGTAAAAATTAACCATGTTCAACATAACCGATTCTTACTTACCAAGATAAATTCTATTTTATATTCGAAAAAATAGTAGAGCGTCTAAATCTAAAATTGCTAACAATCCAATATATGCTTTCTTTATGTTTAATCAAATAATATAAAAAATCAAAATCATATATCCTTTCGATGGAATCACCATAATAATTATTGATACGAACAAAAACGGGATCTTTGCTCGTAGGATAAACAATTTTTTGTTCGTTTAACTTTCCCAACTCACAATAAGAAATATTGCACGGTACATTGACCGTCTCTTTTACACCTTCATAAAGATTATAAAGAATTGAATTTGTTTCTATTGGATTGCATTTGGTAGAATCGTTTTCGATATGCTCGATGGCATTATTTTCGGCTAAAGTGCATGTAGATGTTGCTTCATATTTGACGAGATTAGACGAATTAGGTTCATCTTTATCCAACGATTCCGGAATTGATGAATAAATATCAATAATTTCATCTATAACATCAATTTCATCAATTTCAATTATATCGTCATCAGTTGAGAATGATGTAATTTCAGAAACCATGGTTTCTTTGATCACAGGAATTTCTTTTGGTTTGCGAAATACTTTGCGTTTAAGAGATTTAAATGTCTTGGAGATAATTTTTTTCAACTTATTGGGCGATTTATGTTGTTTTGGCCAGAATTGATCACCCTCTAATGGATCCATATCAAAAAAACATACATTTGGGACATCATTAACGAACTTTTTGTTAAAAATCGAAAATTTGGGATCGAAAGTAGTTGTTTGCATTTTTGGTTGAGAAGTTGCGTATTTTAAGAGATAATTTTTTTTTTATTACTTGTGGTTGTTGTGTTTGCAGCAAGGTACCTTTAGCGGCCCCTTGCTTTTATAACTTTTGAACAGAATACATGTTAATATTAGTTAATCAATCTTATTATCAAAGATTTGTATTAATTTAAAGACATCATTATCACAGGACGTATTATTACGTATGGATGTATCATACGGTAGTTAAACACGTAAGTTTGTTGATTGTTGGGTTGTTATCTTCAAAAGATGGCTGTCAAAATATTATATGTATTGCATTTGCATTGTAGAAATTGTATCTTGAATTGTATGATTCCATTAATACAAAGAGTAAGATTCTACAATACTAGGATAATTCAAATTAAAAGAAAAATTATATCACTTGTTCATTTATAACATTTTCTGCACTATAATACAAATAATAATACATGGCAAAATCATTTTAATAATAATCAATTGACGCGAATAAAATACAAATAACAAACGAAGTTTATTCTTCAGCACTTACAATATTTTTTTTTCCGAATTAATAATCACGTGATCAAACAAATGTCCTTCGTATTGTAGGACAATCAATTCATGTGATAACAATTCAATCTAAGAAATTTAATCGGAAGCTTTGTCATGATTTGATGTTGAAAAAAATAATGACCTTCACAATACCTCATTGGGAATGAAATATTACATTGCCATCAATCTTGATTATCATCATCGCGGAAGGGAACAATGCAACAGCTATGCGCAGAAAACAATACATGACCCGAACATTAAGTCAATATTTGTCGATAAATACGTTAAAAGCAGTCGAAACCATTTCGTAACATTGCTTATTTCATTTCATTCAATTAGGAATGTAACGCGCACTGGTTTTGATCTTTATTTCATGACTTTCAAGACCACATAAACATTACGCCAATTGAAATGCTTATTAATGATATCGCCGTCGATTGTTGTGTATACAATTATAATATCACTTCGAAGCCCATCTTTCCGATATGCTACGTTCCAGCTTGTGAATAAAGTATTCATTTTATATGCCGATCGTATTGATATATTATTTTGATCGCGTTAAAAAATTTTATTTATAATAACAAATTATAATTTACACTTCTTCAATAAATTATAAGATATTTAATTCAGCTTACGTTATAAATATTCTCTTTTTCTTTTTAAAAACATAAAGCCAAATTAATAAATTGAATCCGGACGAAGAATAATTAATGTTTTAGCATCGGAAAATGTATCCAATTTTGAAATTATAAATCTGTTCCGGGTCTATATGTTTTGAGTCGGCGTAAAGTATGCGAAATTCTGCTTGAAGTTGCATTGAATTTATTCGGTTCGTTTTTTATTTTTCTTTCGAGTTCTATCGTTTTCGAAAAAATATATATTTTTTTTTATTACTTTTTGACTGCTTCAGGCTGCAGTGATCGAGATGGTTTCACCCTATATTTCAGGTAATTTTTGCTATTTTAGGTTCCTCACCTCTTTCGGTGCGAGCACTTCGGAAGTAAAATGTAATGATATT